CACCGGACTCTTTATCACGTGAGGTGCGGGTAGCAATACTCCAGGGGATAGCGAGATCAGGCGCCAACCTGCGCGTCGGCTTATGCGGTTTTCCACATCCACATATCTCCTACCTGAGACAGTGTAATGTGTAGTGCATGTAAATGTAAGTAAGGGATGATGATATAACAAGGACGGGAAGAAAATATTAAGCGCGGTCCGTGACCCCTTTGTTAGGATACTGCTCCAGCATTCGCCACGTATTGATGGGAGAAATCTTAGTAAATTAACGATCAAAGCAGTCGCCTCACAGTGGTCACGAATAAAAAAAAGCTGGCCCAAATTCGATTTTTTTCTCAATGCAGCTTAATACCACAGAATTTTGTGCAGAGGGACCCACTGTATATGATCAAGAAAAGGTTTCCGGCTAGCTTTTCATATGTACTTGTATTTCGAAGCCGATCGTCAGCTGTTTCGAACAATGTGACATTAGGTGTTGTGACGGACACTTTTGAAGCCTTTATTTAAAGCGCGTAACTTTTTTTGAAGAATTAATTTAAATTTTATAAAATGGTCGAAAATTCTGGCACTGTCGCGACTCGAACCGTAGGAAGTTCCATTCAGTGACGACAGTTTATGCTCTGAGCGGCCAATTTAATTTAAATCAACCCTAATTTTTGAACCGTTACAAACATTAAACATTACGAAGCATAACAGGGATATCTCGGGATTACCTTTACGTAGTTTATGTTGGCGACTGCGACTGCGAAAGGCCCTGTCTTCATTCCGTCAAAGAATATGCTCGGTGACAGGGACACCTGCAGGCGGATCTTGGCGTTGTACTCCGGCCGCATGCTCATGGCCACATAAAACACGGAGTTGCCCAGGGAGTGTCCCACGTAGAACAGCTTCTCCTGCTGCGTCGCGTTCAGGATGTAGTCGATAAACGCCGGGATGTCGTACACGCCCATCTCGTGCCAACTAGAAAGGAGCCAAACAAATTAAATTCGGTGGATGGTGCGAGAGGCAGAAATGGAAATGAATTGGCGAACTGCCATGTGATAAAAATTAATATTGTAGCAAGATAATGAAATACAGTTATTTAAAATAAAAAAAAGCAAAGGGGGGGGGGAATGAACAGCTTCGGGTAACAAATCATCACTCCCCATAAATACGTTTTGAAATGCATCTGAAAGATTCTCTCTTCTGTTTGTTTCAGGGTGGTGCACATTTGTACGTTGCACAGGAGTGCAGTTGAGAAGCAGCCGCTCTTGGTGTGAATGGAGCATTTGTTGTCGTCTCGGTGAGTTGAGATGTTATGTTAGTTAAAGAAGAATAAACGAATTTTGTCGTGTGCTTTTGGATTTGATATTTCATGTGGGGAGAACTGGCGGAACCGTTGTGTGCTTGTTGACGTGCGTAAGAATTAGCAATGAGAAACAGCACTATATTGGCGATATTTGTTTATTTTAAACGAAACTTCTCCTAGACACAAGAAACATCTCTATATATAAATAATTAACAAGATGTGTTACTACAATTTTTGGAATGCTTGGAGTGTAAGTAAAATACAACTCATGACTTAATGATTGTTCAAGAAAGGGGTAAGAAGCTTAGCTGTTCTAGACCTTTTATTGCCTACTCTCCACGTTAATCAATCACCTTTTGCGGGATATACAAATTTAAACGAAAATTATAATTCATTCGAACATTGTACGAAATTCGTTAAATAACGTTTTATTACATTAGATGGAGTGTAAAATAAATACATTTATAATCGCGTATTTTAATAAGATGTCTTACGAAAGTTGTTTCTTGGAGAATTTTGATTCACTTGTCCGATATTCAGGTAATAATTCCAGCCGATATTTTACACCGGGGCAGACTATGTGTATGCGGTGCTTATAATTTCCTTAACGCGCGTATAAATCTCTTAACTGTGAGGCGGGTTACGTAGAGTTCAGGGGCGCTTGAGTTGTCATAAACGAATGAAATGAAATGAAAAATTGAAATAATCATCAACCTCGCCCCTACATGTCCGAATTAACTCAAACCACTCTTTAAACACTCCCATTACTAATAAGAACAAAGTGTGAACATTTCAGCGAAATCGGTAGATTAGTTTTTGCGAGTATGTGCGATACATATACGCACATTCCATTTAATATATATTCAACCAATTCTGTCCGTTCGACATTCCCACACTCTAATGGGTGTGAAAGAAGCCTGTTTCCCTGGTGCTCTGGCCCATTGATTGTTTGCCCTCCCCCCACGTCACACCGAAGCAAATGTGTGTGGCCAATGAGGAGAAGCGATGTTCACGCACCTGAACATCCAAAAGCGGCGGTCGCGCCTCCCCAGGGTCTCGTGCTTCTTGGAGAATTGGTTTCCGCGGACGTTGGTCATCCACACGTCGTAGCCCGCGTCGGCCAATCGCAGGGCTGCAACAGCTCGCCTCGTCAGTTGTAGGTGCGGATGCGACATTTTAGAAGTTGGTAACATTGTTTCCATAAAGGGTGCGCGCATTAGGGATTCGCAGTCTGAACGGGGCGATTCGCACTTTCCACTCTTTGCAAACGAGTTGTCCTACGTGTTCTGTACCCCCATGTCCCGTCTCGTACCACCATGTCCCGTCCCGAACAGTCATGGCACGTTCCGTCCCGCCACGTTTTGTCCGTCCATCTGTCTGTTTGTCCGTCTGTCCTGAGCCATCCTAGAGTAAGTCACTGAAAACCCCCTTCCTTTCCGTCCCGTCCCGTCCCGTCTCGTTCTGTTCTGTTCCTTTTCTGTTCCGTCCCGCCCTGTCCCGTCCGTCCCTTTCCTACCAACCCAGTGGCCGCGAGGCTTTAGTCTGAAATTCAAATATTGATCGAGTATTCTTCTCTGTATTCTAAGAATATTTATTTGCTAATTAATTCCGGCCGCGTAAACTATCGTAGTCATAAATCCTACGAAAATGTAGCCATTGTTATATCTCCGATGATGGAGTTACTTTTCTAAGACTAATGACCTAAAGTAGTTGACGCGCTGGGATGAGTTAATACTCACATTCACAGTTTGCTACTGATTACTGTTACCTAAATGTTTGAGTACATTGTGGCACGAACTGCGTACATTCCCGCAGCATACGTATATAGAAAAGTGCGTGCACACGCATCTGTCACAATATTCTGCTAGGGGATTTGCTCTTACCCGAACATTCTCACTCAACCAAGTGATATCGAAGTAAGAGTTATCGCTGTGACGAAATTTCATTATGACATGGAATTTACTCCCGTAACACCGGGTTTTCGGTAACACAATCTTCAGTGTTTAGCCAAATTTCGAGTCACATTCTGGGATCGTTACGTGATTTAAATTGCGAACAACTAGTTTGTAGTTATTTGGAGACGAGTTCGAAGGTATTTTAACTCGAGAGATGCTTTGAAATACGAGTAGAACTGATTAGCCATCCCCCTCTCATCTTACCATACAGCAGAACTGTGCGCAAAGCAATTTTCTCACAATCAGTTTAATAATTTGCTAAACTTTGGGCCACGCACGCGCGAAACGTCGCCGAGAGAGGGAAGGGGGGCCTTGTCTTACCCAACACGTCTTAACTTCCCACAGGTGTTGAATATTTGCGAGAACTGCTGTCGCGAGCCTTGAGGGCAACTATCTCTCTCCAGACTGTCGTGTGAGGACAACTTCATAACTCCAGTCCTCGTGGTTACGAATATTATCAAATTTTTGAAAACTTTTGTAGAAAAATACTACGAGAACAAGGCTGTAGCAGTGCAAGCAATTGATGTTTTCAATGACAAAGTAATGTCATATTTACGTGACGTTCTAAAGAGAAGTCTAAAGCAATTTTCTTTGGAGAGATTTTTAGTTAAAAAGGTACGAATCGATTCCAATGAGCCAGTAGGTAATAGTACTGCTATTAAATACCCTCAATATAAGGTACAGCTAGATTTTTACTCTCATTCCCAAATAATATTATATTAATTATTCTCTATGAATCGGTAGTTTGGTATTGTGAACGAAGCATCTGCATTTCAATTATTTTCATATGCGAGTGTTCTGCATTATGAGCAAGTTTTTAGAACGGAGTATGCTCTCAATCAATAGTTCCACTCTCAAATATATAGAACTAGGTTGGCAACCCCTACAAATGCAGCTACGCGAGATAAAGTAAGATTGTGGCGTGTGCAACTCCTGACTTCAATTAAACGATTATTCATATCATTAAAATATAGTTTTATAGAACTTAAAGTGTATTTTCTGCTAGAACGTAATTTGTTGGCCAACCGCAATCCATATTTAACAAAATGAAAAAATCAATAAATAATCATTTATTACCGTAATAATGACAGTAAATTACGTTTTAGCGGCTAGAAAATTACGATCTAGTTTAATTACGTGACATGCAACCAGGAGTATAAATACTACCCGTATTTGTTTCATTCAGCGTTCGGAGATGAGAAACATGAAATTGTCAATGCCACTTTGTTTGTTAACTTTGCTCCTAAAGTATTCGCTTACTGAATTTGCTTAGTATCATCAACTGGTATAGGTAGTTTCATTTAACTGATTAATAACTGAAATCAATAAGGTAACTCTACTTGTTTTGTGGACTACTCAGAAATGTGTAATACGTCAGGTATGGAAGGCAATTGAGGTTATGGAAGTGCAATGCTTTCGAATACAGTCAAATACTTCAAGTGACTTTAGCTAAAGAAAATCTTGAAATGTTTAAAATTAGACATATACCAGTGGTTCTCTTTGTTTCAATTATTAGTCACAACTCTAAAAGAAAGTATGAGTATACAACTCATCGGCCTTGCATTTATGCACAACGTCAGTAGTAAGAAGGTGTCACGCGCAGATTTTCGGCTTCATAGCTATCCTAGCGTTGGCACTTTATATATAATGTGTCCGTGGTGCCACTGTATTTTCTAAACTCATTTCTTCCCAAAGCAAAACAAAATGGCGACTTTTGGGATGTTGCCACTTTTCTTGAGCTCTGAGGGAATTTATACCTGGTGCCATGTCGGGACCGCCCAGCACGAAGTACTCGGAGCAGGCCATCATGCCGTGCTGCAGGATCACGGGCGGGCGAGCGCCTGTCCCCGACACTCCATCGCCCACGGCGTTCGTTTCGCCGCCCTCTCCTCCTGCCCCTCCTCCCCGCCCTCTGGGGATGCGGTGCGCCGTGAGCAGGAAGCCGTCCTCTGTTCGCACAGTGTGCGTCTCGAACGGGTACCCCCACCTGCGCACGCGATCTTCCTGCGAGTCACATTACCACCTTAAAACATTAATATTTTTGAGCATTTAATATATCACTATACGATTCCAACAACATGTTATTTTCACACATTTTAAAGAATATTGTCCAAAAATCGCATTACAAATAATAATTTTTTTTAAATTACATCTTTAATCTTATTTTTATATTGTTTCAGTTATTTTTGAAATCAGTTCTTTTATTCAACTATTCTAGTATTTAATTATTGAGTTCGTTCTTCAACGTAACTTTTATATGTGTGTTCCGTTAGTAGAGAAAGTAATCACGAAGAAATTGTTATACTCAATTTAATGTCCAATTGTTCACAAATGTTCTGTGAAGAATATTATGTATAAATTCCAATTCTGAAAAAATAAACGTTCTGCACGTCCTCATAGGTGCAGGACAATTTGCAATTGCTAACAATAATAAACTATTGGCGTAATGTTATGGAGACGTGACCTAAGGTACACGGAAAAATTACATCGTTGCGGACGTACTCTTCTCAATATGGCATTCACATGAAAAAATGGTTTAAATTATGAAGGCAATATAAAGGAATGTAATATAAATAATGACCACGACGTTTGAGCAATATGGTACGAAAAACTTATTGCAATTACATACTTTTTAAAAACAGAGAATAAGAGCGGATAAATATATTTTGATATGAACCACACTAGTCGCTATTTACATTAAAAAGAGAAAACGAAGAATTACATACACTTAGTACTCGTGCGAGAACTCTTGGATGTACACATCTTCTTTCCAATTTTTCTATTTCCATATTAAGCCTGTAATGTATTTTTTCCTTCAAGATCGTCTGTCACTTGCTCTGTGTGTCTTTGTTATATGATAACAATAAAATTACACCCTTATTACACACATTAAACACAAATTATTCTTATTAAAGTTTATTACCAAGCACAGAGGTACACCCATGTAATTAAATCGCGTATACTATCAAGTATTTAGTTAAAATTCACATTCAGTTGCAGATTCTGCGCGACTATAAGCTGGTGGGGTAATATAGAGAAGCGCCGGACCATCAAAAATGTAATAGAATGTTCAATATCTCATCCTGTAGATTACGGTATGGTGAACAATTTTTGTTTTTAAGACCCTAGAACGCTTCGTTTAGGAGTAACAAAATAGATTACAAAGTGCAACGGATTGTTGCGGGTTGCATTTGGCATGAATATTTAGATACATTTTTTAAAAACAAATCCTTCATATTTTTTTAAATAAAAGTGCAATTCATCACGTCTCTGTGAAGTTCTTGTTCTTTAGAGACGTCATTTAAAAAGATTGGTTGCGTGTGAGAACCGCAAAAGGTATGTACACGATTGAAATAACATAGGAGGCGATGATATTCATAATTGTGGGTACTTTCGACAAGAGTGGACACCATGCTTATTCCAAGCACTCGTCGGTATTTAATTATTACTGTGTGTTGTAGTTTATGTGGTCTTGAACCTTGTGCAAAGCCAAAAAACGTGGAAACTTGCCCTTCTTTTTTTAAGAGACTACGCGAGATTACAATCGCGTGCGTGACGTCAGATTTTATGCACGTTTACTCGTCCCTTCAGCGTCTTGTTGCACTGGGAATTTCCATTGCGTCATTAGACGAGGCGTGGTTTGCTCTCAGTCACAACACGAGATTCATCCTTGCGTGCTTTAAATTATTTGCGCTAATGAATCGTAGTTAAAACGCACTCCATTTTTTATTGTTGCCAAATGTGGGAAGCTCACACAGGCTATTCAAAAGAAAGGGCTTCTTACAAAGTAGAATTAGAATTTCAATTCACTGGTCAGTATGATTTTCAAAAGAAATCTAAACAGTGAATTTAGTGCAACTTGTTATCATCAAATACACAAATCTAATAAGAATTTAATTAGGCATACTTTCTCTCTGACAACTTTTTAACATTGAAGTGGTAGCGCTCTTATTTGTCTGTCATATGAATAGTAGTTAAATAAGGAGATTTATTCAATACTTATTAAGGAAATTATATATTGTATTATGGCGGAAAACTAAAAGTAAATTAACTGTATTGACCTGCCTAAACCTATAAAACATTAATAAATATAATGTTACGAGTAATAGATGAAAAAAATGATGGATGCCACCTTATCAACTTAAATTTGTTATGGGAGCTGTTATTTGCGGAATTGACGACATAATCATCAGTAGATGGCTAAAGTCGGGAGACGCTGATTCTAGTGGCCAACTATTTGTGTTATTCCGCCTGTTCTCAAACGGCGAGTAATGAATGCATTCTCGTATGCACTTTGTCACTGCTTACATCAAAGCCGATGTCATACGACAGTTACTCTTTAATAACGAGGCTGCCCGCCATTTGATCATGTTGGATTATGGATCACATGTTGGATTATGGCATTATTTTTTTATTTTCTTCGTATGTAGAGTACTGCTCGATTTATACATACACGCTATCAAGCGTAATTGGGCCAATAGATTCCACGACCTAGTCACAAGGTACTTCGCGCTTAAGAGATTGATAGATTGCGAGCCCGGTTGATTGCGAGCCCGTCAACAACACCGTTTTATCGAGACCTGTCCTCTGACGGTTAAAGCTAACCTCACGTATTTTGTAAGGTTTAGGGGTAGTTGTTTCTGGTAGATTCTGGCGAAAAATATGGTAAAGCATTCGTTCAGGTAGCTCACAGCTTCACTGCTGTTCCCCGACTTCGCGTAGAACGCAAAAATCATTCGCGGACATAAAGACTCGCAACGCTGTTTTTTCTGCTAGAAGGGGCGCATCATTGACATTCAAAAGGTGGGAGAAGCAAGGTCCTCTATCGAACCCTAGTCTCATCGCGTCGTAAGAACGGTTGTACGCCGTTGACCCGCTCTCTAAACGTTCTCTGTGAGAAATCTACCGCTCATTCTGATTTAGAAATCGCTTCTCTCCGACTTGAAGACATGAAAGTTCCCTCAGGAGCCACAACGTGTCGAAGGCTGACCGTATATCAGGAAAGACGGATTTTCGACACTTGCTTGTCAGCTAGGTCGTATTCAATCAGTGACTGGACGAGAACTCTACATGTTGGTCGCTCTGATCGGTTGTTTTTCGTGGTTTACCGATTAATAACAGGCCAATGTCAGAGCGGTACTCTACCAAACGTGCCATGGACTGCGCGCGATCTTACCTTCATCTTTCTTGTCCTATCTGCACCCCTTACACACGCACTGCGCTACCCCAAGTGCCTGGTCGGGGGTTTAGAGATTATCCCGGCTGGGGCTTCCCTGCTAGTGGGAGATCCCTGGTTGGGGGCAAAGTCGCTAGCCGACGAATCTCGCTATCAAGGGAGGGGGGAAGGTCACCGCCAGCTCCCGGAAAGAGACACACACTATACTTATAGGATGACTGATTTCAGTAGTTGACGCGCCCGGAATCATCAACCAATGAACGAATCAATCAATCCAGAAAGACGGTTGACAGATTCGGTCGCTTCTCGAGGGCGAGTCGCGTGAGCAGCTGCGCGGTGCTGTCGCCCACTCTGAATCCAAATTGCTTGTCTCGGAGGGCAAACTTCGCGTTGCCTAGACGACGTACTTCCTGCTGCAAGCGCATCCAAGCGAGCCTGTCTAATTGTTCTTAGGAGCCAGAGGGGATTTAGGGCTGCAATTGCTGGACAGGAACACGCTTTGTCGCTCTTGCGTATTATGCAAATGTTCACAGTTTTTCAGGGAAACACCTTGTGCTATAGGCAAGTGCGGCCATTTCCTGTCAATCAAGTTCTGGTTGGAAAGCGTAGGGTTATTTGATACCCGGGCGGTACGATTGATGTCACTGCAGCATTCTTGTTCTTAACTCATAAACCTTTTATGGTATGACATTCACACGAATGTCGCGAGATTAGTTATTTATAAAGTATATATGACCTTTCCTTCAAGACCTGTCTTTGAACATCAGCTTTGGAGGAAAATATACACTACTAAAAGATTTTTAACTTCTGACTTTTTGAAAAATGCAAAACTTTTAACGTGAGACCTGTACTATTCTTTTATCCGTGTCTTGTATCAGAAGCCAGATCTTAATAACAAAATTTGGAATCATTTTTTAGAAAAGTTCTCCAAGTAGAAAAAAATCAAGTAAAAGTATCCACCAAAATCGAAATATCAGTTTCAATCTAGCAGGACCTCGAGCTCGTTTAGATCGATCGCTGAATATCAAGTAGACAGATGCAGAGAGCGCCAGAGCCATAATGAGCAAAAGCCTGTTCACCCGGAAATCCATTAAGCAACATTAATGCTACCCGCCATGACGCCCGAGCGAAACTGTCTCTTGCAAACGGTGGTCTCGAAAATTTGCTTGCGTCGTATCTCGCAAGCACATGTTTCCCATTCTTAACATCTTCAGCTGCGAACCGACATCATTAGCTAATGTGCCAACGTTGGTAGTAACCCCTTCGTTCTCAAATATCGTCCTTCTTTAAGGATGGCTTCGTAATGTACCGTCAAGATGTCAAGCATGTTTCCTTGACATCTTTGAGTAAAGAGATGAAAAACTTCCCGCATGTGCGTCCAATGCAACGAGTCAACAGAAATATGAGCTCGCGATTACTCAGCGTTTTTCTGCTCATTCTGCACATATTATGTTTGATGAGGTGAGTGACGTGTACAATAGGGCAAGGGCGCCGAGAAATGTTTCCCTTGGAGATTTTAATACAGGTAGTCATAACAGCTACATTATAAAAGTTTGACTCAGCTGCTATTAAGGGTTTTCGTTTACCAATGAGGGTAATTCAATACATTCTCCACCAAATTTTTTTAGGAAACAATTTGTTGAACCATGAAAATCTTATAATTATTAATGTTATAGTCACCAAAATATCTCAATTAATACATGTTTGATATTAAATTAATATGTAGAGGGAAAAGGTGATTATTAATTAGACCATACAAATTGACCCACAAAATAGAGAGAAAGTTATCTTTATAGAGAAAACGAAGTAGGAAACAATGTCATGTTAATAATCTGCATACATTTACAACACTCTAACCAATGTACTACAATTTATTTTCTGTGACTTAAGCACAGTGTTTTTTGCAAGTTATACACATTCTTTTTCTAATATGATTTATTGGATGAAAAGCACATGTTTTCTCCGATTTCATACTTGAATTTTGTAGAAGAACTTCATTGTGATTCCCTTTTACCTTTGCCCTATCATTATCATGTCACAAATTACACATCAGGTGGTCATCATGATGTAAATGATCAGGGTTATCGAGATTTATAATATTTTTGAACTCGCAAATAAATCTTTTGCCATGTTAAGACTAAAGGCACTATTAAATAACAAGGCACTAAATGGAAAGAACTAACTTCATTTCGATCATTGTTGACATATATAATACAATAACACAGAAATGAAAAGAAAATACCTGATCTGAGTAAAGCAGTGGTGAGATTTTTATTTTTTTTGTGTATTGAGTGTCAGACTGTCTGTCCGAGTGTCAGACTGTCTGTCCGAGTGTCACTCGTCTGTCCGAGTGTCAGACCGCTTCTGTCCGCGTGTCAGACTGTCTGTCGGTGTCAGACTGTTGTCCGAGTGTCAGACTGTCTGTCCGAGTGTCAGACTGTCTGTCCGAAGTGTCAGACTGTCTGTCCGAGGTGTCGAACTGTCTTGTCCGAGTGCCAGACTGTCGTCCGAGTGCAGACTGTCTGTCCGAGTGCCAGACTGTCTGTCCGCGAGTGCCAGCTGTCTGTGAGTGCCAGACTGTCTGCCGAGTGCCAGAACATGTCTGTCCGAGTGCAGACTGTCTGTCCGAGTGCCAGACTGTCTGTCCGAGTGCCAGACTGTCTGTCCGAAGTGCCAGCTGTCTGCCGAGTGCCAGACTGTCTGTCCGAGTGCCAGACTGTCTGTCCGAGTGCCAGACTGTCTGTCCGAGTGGCCAGACTGTCTGTCGCGAGTGCCAGACTGTCTGTCCGAGTGCCCAGACTGTCTGTCCGAGTGCCAGACTGTCTGTCCGAGTGCCAGACTGGTCTGTCCGAGTGCAGACTGTCTGTCCGAGTGCCAGACTGTCTGTCCGATGGTGCCAGACTGTCTGTCCGGAGTGCCAGACTGTCTGTCGAGTGCAGACTGTCTGTCCGAGTGCAGACTGTCTGTCCGAGTGCAGACTGTCTGTCCGAGTGCCAGACTGTCTGTCCGAGTGCCAGACTGTCTGTTCCGAGTGCCAGACTGTCCTGTCGAGTGCCAGACTGTCTGTCCGATGCAGACTGTCTGTCCCGAGTGCCAGACTGTCTGTCCGAGTGCCAGACTGTCTGTCCGAGTGCCAGACTGTTGTCGAGTGCCAGACTGTCTGTCCGAGTGCCAGACTGTCTGTCCGAAGTGCCAGACTGTCTGGTCCGAGTGCGCGTCAGTGCACTGTCGTCGAGTGAGATTCTCGCAGTGCCAGACTGTCTGTCCGAGTGCCAGACTGTCTGTCCAGAGTGCAGACTGTCTGTCCGAGTGTTCAGCTGTCTGTCCGAGTGTCAGACTGTCTGTCCGAGTGTCAAGACTGTCTGTCCGAGGTGTCAGACTGTCTGTCCGAGTGTCAGACTGTCTGTCCGAGTGTCAGA